TCCATGGCTTTCATAGTAAATTATGATAAGTGACTTACACAACAAATTTATTATCTTACAATTCTTGAGATAAGAAGTCTGACATCGATTTAACTGTATTAAACCTTAGGTATTATCAGGGCTGAATACGCTTCTGGATATTGTAGAGGAGATTTCTTTGTTTTTCTAGCTTCTACAAGTGGAACTGATCTTGAGGCTCCTTTATGTACCTTCAAAATCACCAACAGCCAAGTCAGTGCCAACAGTACAGTTCATTTATTGCCTCTTCTGCCTCTTGTCTACATTTAAAGAACCTGGGGAATTACACTGGGTCCTCAGATAATCAAGCTTAAGTCTTTTATTGTTATATAAGGTAATATATTCACAGAATTCAGAGATTAGGAATGGGCATCTTTGCCTACTACACTTGTTAAAATAAGGCAGTAAGAGTTTCTGTGTGGTGCAGCAGTTAAAGCCATTGTGCGGACACCTTCATGCCACTCAGCATGCACAGCCTTTAGTCCTTCCTCTTTTCTCATCAAGCTTCCTGCGGATGTACACCCTTGGGAGACGACAGATGATTACTCAAATACTTGTGTCCCTGCAATTCATGTGGGATATAAGGATAAATATTTTTGCACCTGGCTTCTGCCTGGAAGCCCTGTCTTAGCTTTTGCAGGCATTTAGGATGTAACCTAGCGAATGGCATGTGTCTATCCCTTCCTCCCTCTAACTTTGCTTCCTCTTTCAAATAAAAATAAACGCAAGTTGAAAACAAAATTATAAAACAGTGCTTAATGTTCTGGTAGGAAAAATTCCTCAGGATATATTTTTACATTAAAAATACAAAATCAGGGTCTGGTGTGATAGCCTAGCAGCTAAAGTTCTCACCTTGCATGCACCGGGATTCCATACAGGCACCGGTTCTAATCCGGTGGCCCCGCTTCCCATCCAGCTCCCTGCTTATACCCTTGGAAAGCAGTCAAGGGCAGGCCAAAACCTTGGGACTGTGCACCAGTTGAGAGACCTGGAAGAAGCTCCTGGCTCCTGGCTTCAGATCAGCTTAGCTCCAGCCACTGTGGCTGCTTGGGGAGTGAACCATCAGACGGAAGATCTTCTCTGCCTCTCCTCCTCTCTGTATATTTGCCTTTCCAATAAAAATTAAATAAATCTTTAAAAAAATACAAAACCAGGAGTATAGAATAAGCATATATTTTCACACTTACCTATATATGCAAACTCAGGAAAGATATAAAAAAATATTTTAGCAGATAAAACAGAATGATAACAATAGTGGCAAGATGGGGAATGAAGTGGAGTATTTTTAGGGTATCTTCTAAAGTATGACTTTTGATCCATGTAACTGTTATTTTTTAAATGCAACCTTGTTATATTTCTCAAATTTTCTTTTAACAAGCAAATCCTCATTTGTAAGTTACTCTGTATCAGATAGTTCTCTAACATTAAATTAAAAAAATTAGTTTCATGAAATTCTGGTCTTTGGAAAGATTTTTGCCACTTCCTTTTGAAATCTCATTTGTATTCCACTGGGAGATTTCTCATTCTCTGGTATTGCTGCAATGAGAAAGCTAGTATGAAAGGGAGAGAATGCCGTTGAGTGGGCATTCAGTTTTCAAGTGGTGAATTAACTAGTGAAATTTTCATTTTATTCATAAAGTGATAGTGACTTTAATTTTCCTATATCACCGTAAAACTTTGGACAAGTGTGTAAAATTGTTCAATAGCCTTATATTTATTATTAATTATTTCTCTTAGAAAAGCCTTTCATTATACCCTAACTCTAATAGCTTACTATCATTTACCATAAATTTAGAAGAAATTCAAAACTTCTAGTAATTTCTATCATATATTTGTCTATTTGTAAAATAATGCTTCATGGCTGGTATCACTAACTTTTTATAGTTCTGTTTATTAAAGTTCACTCTACAAATAATAAAATACTTTGTCTAGCCATTCAATTTTCTGAGTTTTGAAAAATAAAAACAATTATATAACTATCCCAGCAAAGAGAACAGTATTTTCATCATCCAAAATGGTTCCCTCATGTGTCTTGGGGGTCACTTCCCTAATTCTACCTTCAACCTCTGTTAATCATTCATCTGTCATGCCCACAGTTTCATATTTTGTAGAAAGTTAGTATTAAACGCAACTACACAGTGTAGTTTTCGTATCGAACTTGTTTCCTTTAGCATATTGCTGTTAGGATTCATTCAGATTCATTATTTCCTTTAATCACTCAGTCGTATGCCATTGTATGGCTACACCCCAGCCTGTTCAGCAATCAGACGAGGAACATTTGGGTCGATAACAATTTGGGAATTTATTAACACAGTATGTATGAATGTGTGTTTTCATTGTCCTTGGATTTACGCCTAGAAGTGGGGTGGTTGAGTCATGAAGAAGAAGTAAACAGAACTTTCTAAAGATCCCATCAAGGCTGCAAGTCTGTTTGCCCTAGGGAATGTATCATCTAATAGTCACACTAGCAATATGAGAGTTCCAGAAGTTCATGATACCAGCCTCTTGATGCTATCATCTTGTTTAATATTCACCATTCTAAAAGGCATAGCAGGATTGCATTTTGGTCTTTATTTGTATTCCTTAATGACTGACTGTTTGCATCCAGTATCTTTCTATGTACCAATTTGTCAATCACATTTCTTCTTTACTAAAGGGCTTAGTCAAATCTCTTATTCCCCATATTGAGGCTTAGGTTATTTGTACATTTTGCTTACAATTTCTTAAGTACATACCACTATTTTGCCTTTTAATTTTCTTAACAATGTAATTGGATGTTTTTAAGACAAGTTTTTAACTTTGGTGAAGTACAATATATCAATGTTTTATATTTTACACATTTTTGTTTCTTCTCTAAGAAATTTTTATCTGACACAAGCTCAAGTAGATTTCTGCTATATATATATATATTTTTAAATATTTATATTGATTTTTATTGCAAAGTTAGATATGTATAGAGGAGGAGAGACAGAGAGGAAGATCTTCCATCCACTGATTCACTCCCTGAGTGACCACAATGGCTAGAGCTATGCTGATCTGAAGCCAGGATCCAGAAACTTCTTCTGGGTCTATCATGTCAGTGTAGGGTTCCAGGGCTTTGGCCCATCCTCTACTGCCTTCCCAGGCCACAAGCAGGGGGCTTGATGGAAAGCGGGGCCGCTGGGATTAGAACCAGTGTCCATATGGGATCTTGACATGTTCAAGGCGAGGACTTTAGCTGCTAGGCCACCTTGCAGAACCCGATTTCTACTATATTTTTGCTAGGCATTTTAAAGTTTGAATTTATATGTCTGATCCATCTGAGTAATATTTGAGTTTTGGTATGAGGGAGCAGTCAACATTCTTTTTTATATATCCTCTATATGTATACATCTACATAGTCTTTACAATTTGCATATGGATACCCCTTGTTTCAGCACTATTTGCTGTCTTTCTCCATGGAATTGCTCCTTCATTAAAAGCGGAGCTCTGATTCTGGACTCGATTGTGTTGCACTGATCAACGTGTCTCTTCAATTTTCACCAATTCTGTAATCCAGTTTGCTGTAGGTCTTTATTGAAATAAAAGTCTGAGTGTTAAAATTTTGTACTACACATTTGTTTTGCCTATTCTACAGTTTGTCATGTTTCTATATATTTAAAAAAATTGATATTTACTATTTTGTAAAAAATTTTGATCTTTCAAGATTTTGATGAGGACTACGTTGATTTTTTTAGATCAATTTAGGGAGAATCAACACCTTAATAGTTTTGAGGTTCCTAATGAATTAACTCTGTAGGTGATGGGTTTTAAAAAAAGTATTATAAAATTAGTATTTTTTTACTCCCATCATTTCCCTGACACAGTTTTATAGGCATAGGGATTCCTCCTTCCTCTTCCCTCTGCCCATTAGATTGTTAATATTATAACAAACTATGTAAGGGAGTTAAAAAATTTTACTCTAGAAAAAACTTAATCTAAACCCCATTTTCCGTGATCTTTTTTGCAGTTCCTTATTATAAATCAAATTTATTTAGAATTATTTAAATTCCTAAATATGAAGTTGTATCAAGGGCCAAGATTTTTTTAATTGAAATTCTATTAAATACAAATTTAAAAATTATGACAAATACATCTCCTTTTCCTCTATGGCTACATTTTTATGTTTCCCATGTAGAATCATCAAAATATTATGTAATAATATATGCAAACAAGGACACATTATTTTAATATTTTGGAAGACATTAATCTTGTAGCAAGCTCTCTGCAAAATGGTTTCTGGAGTCAAGTAACACAAGAAACACCACACATAATACGCATTGTTCAGGTTTTAATTTGCCGTGGTAACTGGCTTTATTTGGTTTGGGCATTATAAATATTCCAGTATCATTTATTTTCTTTTCCTAGTATATATACATTTCAGGATCTGCCTCAATAAAATAGGTTGATTTGCAGCTTTTCTTTATTATTTCCTTTTTTTTTTTTTGCAGGATAGTTATATACTAGCCAGATAAAATATTTTGTGATGTTTTCCCTGTATTTCCATGTCTTGGGAAAACAGAAATCCTTTGGTAAATTACTGTGCAAAATATTTAAGGACATTTGGCATATACACGAAATGTGATACTAAACAGCAAGTTTAGTCACAGCAATTTTCTTCAGGATTCATTACATTTCAATGTTTTGTATATTTTCATTGTTTTGTTTTGTTTTTTTTTTTTTTAGTTTTCTTCACATTTTCTGCTATTCAAGTATTTTTGACAAGTACGTATGACCAACATGGTACAGGTAAAACTGGTGATAAAGAAAAATGTTTAATTTTTTATATTAACTAGGTATTCTCTTGCTCATTTTTAAAATACTGAACTCAAATCACTTAGAAATCTGAGGAAGTAAATGTACCGACAACAGGACTGGCTGCTAGAAGGCATGCAAATATGAAGAAATAATCAATATAATCAGCTTTGACAAATTGTAGACAGTAATGAGAAGGTGATACTCACATCGGAATTAAAGCGAAGCTGGCAGACATTACAAGAAATAACTTGCTTCTTCTTTGGAGGAATGGACACTCCAAACGTGTGATTAATGACTGCTTTTTGAACAGGATCCATCTATAGGGTAAATGATAAGGCAGTCAGTTTACACTTTCAAAGCGTAACACTGTGAGAAAATCAAAGGTGTTGGCTACATTACTCCTTATGATCTTTACTTCTAGTTCCCCTCAAAAACCAGAAGACTCTCAGTCAACAGTGAGTTACTTGTATTTAGGAATTACAAGGAGAAACAATTAGATACAACTGGTTTGGCATCACAATGCAAAAAGAGACCTCAAGAGAACTACCACATTACAAGTAATCTTTTATCTCGAAAGAAAAAAAGAGCTTTCAGAAGGCTTAAAAAATAAAAAAAAAAGAAAAGCTAATAAATAAATTTCATAGTTAAAAATTTACTTGTTAAGGTTTTCCCTGTTTGAGACAACAGTACTTATGAGATTCTGAAATAACATCAAGGAAAACTATTACAAAAATATTTAACTTTCTTAATTTTTTATTTAAAGCAAAGTCACAAATGACACCTTATTTTGTTGATATAGATGATTTTGATCTTTAAAATAATTTATTAGCCTTCAATTACTATAAACTGATATTCATTCTGCTGGAAATGCATGTCACATTTGTGTATCAAATGGCTATGGAAGACTGGTTAATATGCAATTCTTGTTTAAATATTAATCAAGTGCAGTTTTGATTTATAGCATATGATTTTTCCCCCTTTTTGGCTTGGGTGTATCAAGCATATTCACAGAAATATAGATTGATGAAAATACTCAACCACAGGAAAAGTATAGCACAAAGCTATTAAAACACTCAGGGGGAAACAAAACAAAACAAAGCCAACCAAACCTCTGCGGAGACTATAAAAACAGTCACAGCACTGATTCTCTTGTGCATTCCAGATAATAATCTCTAACATGAACGTCAAACAGCTGGCAGTTCCGAACACAATGCAGACAAGGAACAAAGCATGACTTACAAGCAGATGTAACATGAACAAGGATAGATCCATTGACCTCAAGTAGGAATCTGAGTTTAGAGTTCAGCTCTACACTAGCTAATGCTATTCAATTGAGAGGAAAAACAAATACTATTCTTACTTGGGATTATAAAGCAACCAATACACTGAAAGGAGGCTGAAGAGTTACTAAACAGTACATTAGCCCAGTCCTGCTCCAAGTTTATTCCACCATAAAGATCAGTTAGTGTGGTCTGGGATTCTCAAACATTCCAAGAGATGCATTTTCTGGAGTGGTAAAACTGTTTCATATCCTAAATGTAGTTTTGGCTATTCAAATCTATACATAAGTTAAAATTAATGGAGAGATACACATCCCTAAGAAGTCAATTTTATACATGATAATTTAAAAAGTAAAAGTTATTCTGAGTATTTGGTGCGCTACTTAAAATAACATATGGTTACTACGAAAGTGGTGAATAATTTGTTTAAAGTCATAATTGTTTGTATTAGATTGTGCTTAATGAGACTAACAATGAAAAAGGAACACTTACATGACAAAGAAAATCTCAGAAGATCAGAGAATAAAACCCTGGTTTATTTGCTCATTTTAATCACAAGTGCATACTCTTATATCTCATCTTTAGTTTGAAATAAAATATGAAATTATGCTAGTTACTAGAGGAAGTGAATTTGGAAAGAAATAAAAACAAAATAGATGACTTAGGATAAAAACAACTACAATGTTTTGCACAAAATTTTTTAAAGCATTTTTTTGAGATACTTTCTGTTCCTAGGCTCTTCTAAAAGTTACTTTTTGTATGGTGATGTATGATCTACATTGGATAACATTAGCTGAATACTTCCCTAAAGCCAGTTTTCTACATATCACCTTCAATATTCTTACCATTCTATATGTTAATGATTTTTTAAAATAAAATAAAAACTATTAAAACAATACTTTAAGGTGAATTTTAATACTTCAAAACACATTGAAAGTTAACATTAAAAATTATAGTTTTTATTAGTTAAAGTAAATATGCATGACCTGGTATGTTTTAATATAACAGATGAAAGATTTAAAACAAATCTAGTTTCAAATTTTCAGTAAACCAAGATATCTATTTTTAAATTTTATTCGAAAGGCAGAGCTACAGAGAGGAAAGACACAGAGACAAAAAGAGAGAATTTCCATCCACTAGCTCATTCTCTGGATGTCATCTATAGGCAGGACTGGGCTGGACCAAGGAAAGAAGCCAAGAATTTCAGTTGAGCCTTCCATGTGGATGAGGGGCTGAGTCCTTGGGCCATCCTCTCCTGCATTCTCAGGCATGTCATCAGGAGCTGGATCAGCAATGGAGCAACTGGGATTTGAACTGGTACCCATATGGGATGCCTATGCCACAGAGATGGCCAACCAAGATAACTGCTTATAACTCCAACACTAGTTCTCAATTCTAAGAGTTCCCTTCAAATTTGTGAAATATTTTTCAAATAACTTCTGATAATAGCATTGTTCTGCTCAAATCTTACAGGTATAACACAACAGCTTAAAAATATTCCTTCACGTTCTACAGGCTGAGCTATACTCCCTCAAAGACGAGTTGTGGCTGAGCACTCGGAACACACAAACAGGCAATTCCTGTCCATCTGCACTCTGAAAACCAAATGAGCTTTCTTCAAGAAACCCTTAGCAGAGCTGGCTCTTCTAGTCTGTATGCATAAAACTTAGGTCTTCAAATAATATCAATGAAATGAACACAGCCTTTTTATTTCTTCTGTGTTACCTGTCATTTACCTCCTCTGCCTTTCCATTCTTTGAATGATGTATCACTAATCATATCACACATATAGAAAGTGAAAAAAATCTGAATTTTTTTCTTTGCATTCCTACAATGCCCTGTGAGATAACCATGGTATTATATATTCCATCCCCCGCCCCAGTGTGATGTTTTTCGCCATCATAATGAGATATGTATAATTAAATAAATGGCAATTATTCTCCTCAGTCACCAATTTTCAGAATGAATAAAATATTCAAGACAAATAAGAACATTCTCACAAGTCCCAAAACAATGTAAATGTAAAGTGATCCACATTAGCATAAAGTATGCATCTATATAATGCTTCAATATATATATAATACTCAGGTAAACAGCTAGAATTGCAATCACACAACAAACTCATATTTTTCAAAAAGTTCAACTGGCATGTCATAGACATTTCATTGTCAAAAATGAGCAGGTGCTTACAACAATCATTATCAAAATACTTATAAGTTTTAAATGAACAAATATCTTGTTAAGCATTCATATTAAATTAGCACATGTTAGTTCACAATGCGTGAAAAGCTGTACATGGATTGGGGAAATTATGATACTAAAGAAGCTTTTTTTTAAATGAAAAATGCCTACTATAAAGCTCTAGCTACCTGTATTCCTTACCTGGCAGAATTTACTGGTCACAAATAAGCCTCTTCGTTTCTAAAAGAGTAAAAGTTAGAAGTGGTCATCTGGAATTTTGAGACCCACAAGTACATTTACATGAAAAATTTAAAAACCTATTTTCCTTGCTCATCTCCATGTAGAAAGCCTGAAATGCTTACTAACTAAATATCAGCAAGACTTATCACTTGCCAGCTTTTCCAATGAAAATCATGCAGAAATGAAAAACAAATCTATGAGTATAACTAACTGGCAGGTAATAAAAATGAAAGACGGGGTTGTGGCTATTTTCAGGCATCCAGGAGGTAACTGGGAGTTACATATGGGTGAATTAACTATTATGTGTATGATAGTATTTGTAAAATGAATTAATGAAGCCGGCCTTATCATAAAACATATTAGATTTCCAATATCAAAGAAAGAATAAATAGATATTTGGCATATTCATCAAATTATGGGGACTACAAATTTGTTTGGATTTTTAAAAAGATCATTCCTTTCACACAGTGTAAGACAAAGCCATTTAAATTAGCATAGTGTAAGCACTCACATTAAGATAGGCAACAGCAAATAAAATCAGGAGTGCATCACAGGACTTGCCTGAAAGAATGGTGAATTGAAGACATAGGTAATGTGAAGAAGTGGCATGGCAGAATAATAGATGACATAAGCGGGATAAGCCTCAGGACTCTTTTGCTAGATGAAATGTCAGCAGAATTACAATCTTGTTCAACTACCCTAATGCTTTTCAGGAGGCCTGAAATCTGATGTACATAATTGTAAACATATTAAACTCACTTAACTTTTAAGTCAAGCTGCAAATGAACTGGGCATCATATCATTAAATAACAAAAGAACAGCTCAAGAATTACCCAGAACTCTTTTATTCACACAATTCTTAGTGATGGGGAAATCTCACCTTAAACTTAGCCACTTATTTTAATCAATGTTCTAGAAAGCATTTGGTAAGCACTTAGTACTTGCACAATATATCTGGTGCTAGTAGTTTTTCTAATAAACAGAAGTAGAAAACAAGTTACTGGCTTAAAATTAAAACCAGTCATCCAGCAAGCTTTTCTCGAGACTTCTTATGTTTCAACAAATTGCAGATAAATCCAGGAGACAAGTCAAACGCAACAAAAGATACACATCTGAAAGTTAAAAAGTGGCTTAGAGAGGAGGTAGGTCAAGGTTAACTAAAATAAAGAAGCGTGGGAAGTCCAATATTCTCCTCTGCCCCCAACGTGTGCAAGGACTCTTTTTTCTGATTTTCTCATATTTAACAGTGAGGATCCTCCATTTAACAGCTGCACCAATGTGCTGCCGTCCTGGAGGTATTCGCTGTTTAATTCCTTTCTCTAGCTATGCTAACAACAATAATAAATATCGTAATGACAGCAGCTTAAGTTTACAGAGGTATTACTGAGTGCCAGGAACTGGGCCAAGGGATTATTTGTGTAGTCACCACTGTCACATGAGACAGCTATGATTATTATTCTCTTGTTGCAAGTGAAGAATCTGAGGCTTTTAGAGGTTCGGTAACTTATCACCCTTGTGTTTGTAGGTGTTGGATTCAAACTCAGGCAGCCATCTCGCTCCCTACTGGCTCCTGCTACTGTCACGGGATGCGGGCTTTGGGAAGAAAGGACCAGTGT